TGATCTAGGAGGCTGAACTGGAATACATGTTATTTGATCTGCACTTACATTAGTGATCTGGAAGGCTGGAACACCATTGCTATGTAAAATTTGTTTTGTAGGAACTGCAGTAGCAATCAGTTAAGTTATTAACACTATACGCTTGTATCTCCTATATGTATGCTGTATTTATGTTAATAGTAGTGACCTAGAACAATTTTATGTTGTTAATTTTCATATTATCGGAAAGTAATGCCATGCTCATGATATATACATTTATTGTACTGGAATTATGCTGTTAAAACCATAGGATGTTCTGCCTATCGAATTGATAAGATAAACTCTGAATTCGGTTTTTTACTTCCTTAGTAAATACAGCATTTAAATATCTTTGAAAGCTTTCGAATCTGTATTGGATATAGTTGAAGTTAAGAGTTTTCGGTATCTGTATTCATTTCAAAATATATGGATATAGTTATGGACTTATGGTAGTGGCACTATTCGATCTGTTTTCGTAGTTGCGGTAGGGGCCCCATAGTTGCGTTTGTGATGAGAGTTTTTCACCCCTAAGAACTTCAACTCTTCAACCAGAAACTTCACATAACTAGGTAACTGACCTGGTTGGAAATGTTTCGGATCAGCTTCCAGCATCAAGTTTTGTACATCTAAGATTGAAAACATCTGAACCTAAAGGGTGTATTGTGGGGGTGGTATTCAGGGTTTTTAGTTCTCCTGCTGTCATACATTTCTACTAGTTGGTGAAAATGTGTGCTATGATGTGGCGTCTGTGGAAAGCAGGAGACATATGCCTACATGTCTTTGTGCTTTTATGATGGAATGTTTTTTATGATTGGTGGGATTCTAATGACATTAAATGAATATATTGAAAAAGGTGGATGGAATTTGCAGTCATACCCATTGTTGATACTATGTTTGATGTTTGAAGGGACCCTGATGACAGTAAATGAAGACATTGGGACGATGGGGTTGAATTTGAAATCATACTGTGTTTTTGTCAATGTTGAGTATTCTGGTGGTATACTTCCTTTTCTTTATAAGGGCAATCTGTTCTTGTCACCTTGATGATGTAGAGCTTGATGAATTACTAGTTCTAAAAATAATTTCAATGTAAGGAATATTATCTTGTTTGCTTCTATGCCGGGAGGGGGTGGGTGTGGGGGTATTACACGTAAGTTGCCAGCAGTTGATATTGTTTATATACTACCTCCGTCCGGGTATATTAGGCCGTTTAGCAACACAGCCGTGTACATTTTTATTAGGCCGCTGTCCCTCGATTGTTGTTCCAGTGATTAATTTCCAGCCGCTGCATGCGAAGGAGTCTAGCTGCATGCCAGCATTTGTTCCGGGACTAGTGCTCCCTTGTTTGCATGCGCAAAATCCAGCCAATGCAAGCGACCAGCTCGAAAGGCAACAGCGCATGCGGCAGTTAATACCATCGGGAATCAACGAATTTGTGTACGTCTTCGCTCTGCCTTGGTCCTGCGGATTCGGTCGGCCAGACCTATAGTCCCGGATGGAGGTAGTAGATTCTAAAAACATAGTATCTCACCAATCACAAAAAGAGACCCTGATGACAGTAAATGAAGACATTGGGACGATGGGGTTGAATTTGAAATCATACTATATTTTTGTCAATGTTGAGTATTCTAGTGGTATACTTCCTTTTCTTTATAAGGGTAATCTGTTCTTGTCACCTTGATGATATAGAGCTTGATGAATTACTAGTTCTAAAAATAATATCAATGTAAGGAATGTTATCTTGTTTGCTTCTATGCTGGGAGGGGGTGGGTGTGGGTGTGGGGATATTACACGTACACGTAAGTTGCCAGCAGTTGCAAGTTCAACAAATAAAGTGCATCAACAACTTGCTTCTCCTCGAGATGCTACATCCAAAGCTCCAGTAACCTAATTAACAATTTGCTTTTTGTTGGGATGCTTCATCACTTTATTTCTTTTGTGAGTACAACCATCAGCAGTTTGCTTCTTGAGCTGCTACATCCAATGCCGCAGTCAACTGAACTAACCATTATGTTTCTCTTAGGGATGCTTCACCATTTTATTTCTTTTGCTGACAGCCTAAGATTGACTAGATTCTGATAAGCAACATGCTTCTGGTTTTCACAGGCTAGCAGCATCCGACAGCCATGGCGAAGCATCACCCCGATCTGATCATGTGCCGGAAGCAGCCCGGCATCGCCATCGGCCGCCTGTGTGAGAAGTGCGACGGCAAGTGCGTCATCTGCGACTCGTACGTGCGCCCCTGCACCCTCGTCCGCGTCTGCGACGAGTGCAACTACGGGTCGTTCCAGGGGAGGTGCGTCATCTGCGGAGGGGTCGGCATCTCGGACGCCTACTACTGCAAGGAGTGCACGCAGCAGGAGAAGGACCGCGACGGGTGCCCCAAGATCGTGAACCTGGGGAGCGCCAAGACCGACCTCTTCTACGAGCGCAAGAAGTACGGTTTTAAGAAGCGATAGACGAACATGCTGGCACCATTTGATGGATACCAAGAGTAGGCTGGCCGGACGAACAGCGCTGTACTGTATTGGTGTTATTATGGTTTTGTACTGATTGGAGAATACATCCCTGGTGATTATCTGTGATTACTGCTTCTGATGTATGGTCTTAACTCTTAAGTGAGTCTAGCTAGACTCTCAACTGGTTATGCGGTGGTGATATGCGCCGTGACTGTTTGTTGTTGACTTGGAATGTGGATTGAGATGACTGGCTTCCCGTGCCGTGTCGTTGTCTTGGCCGTTGCAAGTTGCGACGACGCGACGTGGTTGTTATCTGGAAATCAGGCAAGCTGGCAGCCGATGGCGCCTAGTGTGCTTTTCATCGAGCCAGCTGGAAGTACTCTGATCAGTGTCCGGTCTGCGTGCGTGGTTGAGCCTGTGGGCAGGGCACTAGTAGCGCTTAGGCATTTCCAGAATCTTGTGCCGCAGCTTTCAGAACTCTGAAGATGCTTCACAGCGATCCCACAGGATTGTGGTTTCTGGTTTTTTCAGGTGGAGGTTACATACATGTAGCCACGTAGGGTTGCCTCTGTTACCAGCAAATTATTCGAAAGTTGATGAACGAAAGCCCCAGGTTGAGACTGAGATAAAGTAAAATAAGGCGCAAAGTCACGGTAATCACCTTTGGCTCCTAGGTGCATATGCACCCATTGTCGAAATACACATTTTAAAATTTTGAAAAATTCGGAACAAAAATCCTACGTGTATATCCGGACATTTTATGTGCGTTTACAAGGTTTCAGTGAAAAACAATGTTTTTTGTGGCTTGTGTAAAAAAGACAATTTCTTTTTTTTTTACGGAAAAACTTTCAATCTATTCATCTTCAATCATGGCAGTACAACGAATACCAGAAATAAAAATTACATCCAGATTCGTAGACCACCTAGCGACGACTACAAGCACCGAAGCGAGCCGAAGGTGCGCCGCCGTCATCGCCCCTCCATCGCCGGAGCCGGGCACAACTTGTTGTAGTAGATAGTCAGGAAGTCGTCGTGCTAAGGCCCCACAGGACCAGCACCCCAGAACAGCAACCGCCACTAATGAAAAATAACGTAGATCGGAAGGATCCAAACCGAAGACACACGAACGTAGATGAACAACGACGAGATCCGAGTAAATCCACCAAAGATAGATCTGCCGGAGACGCACCTCCACACGCCCACCAACGATGCTAGATGCACCGCCGGAACGAGGGCTAGGCGGGGAGACCTTTATTCCATCTTCAGGGAGCCGCCGCCGTCTCGCCTTCCTGAGTAGGACACAAACCCTAACAAGATTGAAAAAAAAGACTAAAAACGGAGCCCTCCCGCCGGCCCTTGCCAGGATCCACCGTGCCTCCATGACCCTAGGGCCACCGGAGACGAGGCGGACCTGCGCCAGCGCCGGCAAGAGGCACAAACCCTAACTTTTTTTCTTGGAGGAGGAGGAGGCGGAGCCCTGGTCATAAAAAGACAATTTCTGATGCTTCATTCTAACTATTCACGAGGCATTTCTTTATCTTTTTAACCCAAGCCACAAAAAACGTTGTTTTTTACCGAAACCTTGTGAACCCACATAAAATTTTCGGATATACACGTGAGATTTTTGTTTCGAATTTTTCAACTTTTCGAAATGTGTATTTCGACAATTGGTGCATATGCACCTAGGAACCAAAACGCCGCTCTCGCAAAGTCAGCGAATCAAATTCAGGGGGGCACAGCACAGGGCACACTGAAAATACAGTAGAGCCACCGTGATGATGGCAGGAACCCACCCAAACTGTGCGCTTTTATCATCATCATTATTATCTAAGTCCCTGTCAAGGAGGAGTTCCTGTCCAGTACGCCTCCTTAAAACGCTAACCTTCGACTAATGCGTTTTTGTCACAAAGTACGTACTACTACGTCTCATGGACTTTGCTCAATCTGCTAACCAAGTTTATACTAGTACTAGTAAAATTACGTGCCGTATTGCATGACCTACCGGTTACGGATCGTAGCGGCGTGATTACGTATTTGCCCCTGGGGCAGGATGATAGGTGGAGGGCAGCCTGGTAAATTCACACGGGCTGGCCTGGATTCGGGGTCAGGTTAGGTTTAGGTTTGTGTTGGGATTAAATCAAATCGTGGCAGCGTCGATCTCGGCTCGGTGGGGTGGGAGGCTGCGAATTTATAAAGGAGAAAAACAAGGGGGAAAAGAAAGAAACGCAAACCGACGCGACGACAAATAAGAAAAGGGGCAGCGGGCAGAGCGGTGCCGACGCCAGCCACCACCACATCCTCCTCGCTCGCTCGCCTCCTCACCACCTCCCGTCCCCTCCCCTCCAAATCCGCCGCCGGGACGGGGAGGGGCCTAACCCTAGGCGGCCCCGACTGCGAGCTCTCCCGTCCGTCCGTTCCGTCGACCTCCCTGCCGCCGCCGCGGCGCAGGGTGCCCGCGCGCGCGTCTCGTCTCGTCTCGTCTAGATCGGATTCGATTCGGTTTTGTTGCGGGGGGTAGCGACGATGGGGTCGAGGCGGTCGCGGCGCGTTTCGTGGGCCACCGGACCCAGCCTCTGCAAGGTACTGCCACCAACAAAACACCTGATGATGCTAGTTTCAATCCATCCCTCCCAAATCCCAATCCACCGCCCGGCCGACACGGATTCGCGCTCGAGGACTCGTTCGTCGCCTCTGCGGATTTTGGATTTGCTTGGTTTCCTCTGTTTGCTGAACGGTCTAATTAATCTGTCGTTGCGTGATATGCGCGATCTTGCTGTATGGATCGCTTTTGTTTTATTCTCTTTTGAGATGCGAGATGCGTGGAGAGCCGCCGTGTATAAAAACAAACGATGACGATGCATGTAGGTTTTGTATATCCCATGAGCGCAGCGGAATAGAATGAGATGTGGATTTCCTTCTGCAAACGTGGCGGCATTGCTGGCGGTGCTGACACGGATGCCGACGCTCATAGCAGATAAATTCAGTGCGCGGTTAACCGACAGACAGAAAAAAATGCAATTAATCGAACCACCCCTGCATATATCTGTATCAAACAGCATCGGGATGCAGACAATGTGGGGGAGATGAGCAAAGAGGAACTCGTAATATGAATGATGTGTGAAACACTTGACAAAATATGCAAGATTGCATCTAGTAACCACATGACACCTCCTGGGAATTTGGTGTTTTACTGTATCATATAGCACATATTTTAGACAAAAATATGTCACATTTAATCTTGCTTCGCTATCATGTATATCTTTTGTTTCAACATTCTCTGTGGTTAACGAATAGTTGGTTTAGTTAAGTGTCGATTCAACATTATCCTGTTTCATGAGCCAATGCCAACATATATGAAGCAGTATTACCACAACATTATGCTGAATATTGCTACCACCTAGCACAACAGTATAGCACGTGGTATCATTAGTGGATTCACATAACTCGGGCGTGTGCAGTTACATTTTTCTTGCTGACTAAGCCTGTTCAAACTATAGTGTATACCATATATCCAAATTCTCTCTATTAATAATAATAACTAGTGATCGGTCGGTGTACTATCATGCATGCAAAACACTGTCACTGATGGCTACAATCATTTCATAGTTTACAATTCATGATCTCCAGCAGGGACAAAAGCCTTGAGTAAACATTGCAAAAAAAATTTAAGCGGGAGTTGTTACCCTTAAATTTTTAGATTCACAATACAGAATATATCTCATGCTTCACTTCTAAATATTAATGCCAGCTCGTCAAATTATCACTGTCTGTCTACACAAATTAAGTTATAATACAGAAACAGTATGCATAGCCTGTGCTAATGCACATGTTTGAAGTTTAGAATGCAACAGAATCTAGATTTACACAAAAATAAACACAATAGCCCAGCAGCATATTTGTTCTGGAGGACTGGTAATATGTCTGAGCTTAATCATTGGAAATTGAATATAGCATGCAGAAAACAAAAGATATGGGTAGATGCAGCCTATAGTAAAAAAAGAATGCAAACAAACAGATGACACCATTTTAATTTAAGTTCATTCAGAAATTAGTGATTCACTAGGTTCTCCTGTTTTCTGGAAAAGAACGATGTTTGTCCTGTTAAACCATGTGAAGCTCTTATAATTTATCACATTGTTTTTTTGGAGCTAGAGGCATTAGATGGCCATTTATTTGAGACATGGTTTAGCAAAATTCTTTGTATATGCTATAAAGTACCAATGGTGAAGTTCATTTTACTCATCTGTTCAGCATGAGATACCATTATTTAATGAGATAATGCATTTATTAGCTGAAGCCAAGGGACCATTATATACAACTACTATATGGAAGCTTGTCTTCTCAGTTACCATCCCTAAGTGATTGCATTTTGATATCTGCAAAACCAAAGATTTCTTGTTTGTACTTGTCATTGCTTGATTATTGTCTTGTCAGTTACTTTGCACTCTCCCCGCAAAAAAAAGTTACTTTGCACTCATGCTTGCCATTACTCCATTTTTCGCTCATAGATCAGCCTTTCACATGTGTGCTATGCACTATGATGCTAAGTTTTGGTTGATAAGTCTAGTCATTGACTCCCTGGATCATGCATATCTTTCTTGGCTCACATTCGTTACAGCTTTACAGCACATGCTTGCGATAACAGGAAAATGTGCATATATGTATTTTTGTTCTAGTCATATCAATCCATTTGCTGCTGCACTATGTGTAAATCGTTTATATGATTTTCAGTGTCTGTTGTTGAAAGCCTTCACTTCATGGTATCTAGCATCATTTCTTAGCTTGCACTACTTATCCATATAAAAATCTCAAGCGGTTGTCCTGCCTATAGAATTTTACTGGTATTATCATATATGACAGAACCTGTCCTCAAAATCTGCTTTAAATTTCTTGGACATTAGAATACCTTGATTGAGCTACATTTCTTTTGCTATAGATAGTATAAAGTCCTGAACATACGTTGTGGTAAGACTGAAGAAAATCATCTTCTATATTACCTGATTTACATTGAAAAAAAGGTCTAAACTGCACTAATATTTCACGGAACCGCTCCTCAAAATCTCATTTTGTCTTGTTTGATATCAGAGTGCCCTGATTGTGCTAATATTAATTTTCTTGAGATCAGAGTGCCCTGATTGTGCTACTATTAATTTCTTAAGAATTATATGAAATCCTGAATCAGGATTCTGTGAAGTGTTAGAAGAAAATCATATCTCTTACCTGATTCCGACTAAATTTTATAGACACCATTCATCACATCTATGCAATGAACAAACAGTATGCGATTATTTGTCCATAAACATTGGCTATTTTCTTATTCTGTAAAATATTGTTAGTTGGATATACAGTCAGTCGTACACCTTCTTCCCTATTCAAGAAATTTTTTATGGGTAGTGCATAGCCAAGCCCATTTTTAGCGCCATATATTATGTGTCAGTCCTGAAGAGAATAGTTAATTAGGTTCAAGGTGTGCTTTGTATCAGTTTTTGTATAGTAATTATCCGAACGCAGTGAGTTAGCGTAGATTTTTTGTTTCCTGTCACTAAAACATTGTAAAATGTAAATATTAACACCACTTGACATATTTGTTAATCTGTCAGGTAAGGCTGTTCATATCTGAGGATTCCCCTTCTCAAGCTGGATTAAGACCGCAAGACAATCTCCAAGCAAAAGGCTCAGCATCCTTAATGCATGCAGCTAGCCCGAGTTCAGATGATTCCCTGCCTCCGGGTTTTGAGTCACTGCAGCCAGCCAATGACCTCAAAATTGACATATCTCAAATTCCTCTTATTAGGTGGAAATGCCCACCACATGTAAGACTCATGATTTAGACTGCCGTGTTGCACAAACTTTCTAGATATTTTCAATATCGTCTCATTTTTCTATATTGTCTTGGTTTCAGATATTGCTGAATCCAAACTGGCACCTTGCCTCTGGAGAAGAAAGCAGGGAGATTGCTGTACAAAATGAGAGAATGTTTGGAGTGCTTGAGGCTATTTATCCACGTGCATCGAACATTCCTCCAAAGTAAGCAAGCTTCTCATATGTGTTTACAGATTCTCCTTTTTGACGCTTCATATTTGGTATTCATATAAGCTCTTTGTGCCAATCCAGCCCATTTGTTTCTCCTGATGTGAAAGACTCTCATTATGATGACTCCAGAACCCCATTGGTTCCTGTGATCCCTGTCGAAGATGATGATGCTTCAGATCAGTCGGAAGGACCATTGCTTGAGCAACCAAACAATTACCATCAGTCTGATAACTATGGCCCTGCAGAAATCAATGCGCTGCAAGTGTCAAATACTCCAATTACTCCTGCACAACAGCAGCCTGGTGGATCCACTGGCGTTGAAGCTGATGTGTTGGCTGCAGCCTCTGCTGCATACACTGCAATAATGCAGAGCAACCAAAAGGGAAGTATGGTTGACCGAGATCTACTTGTTAAAATACTAAGTGATCCTGTACAAGTTGAGAGGTTAATGAAAGAATACAACCAAATTAGAAATGAACAATCTACTAGTAGTTCTGTTGTTGCCCCAGCGCCACCGTGTCCACCCCCCCAAATGACAATGACTGCCCCTGCCTCATATTCCAATCAAATGACAACTTTCCAGAACACAAATTCCACCCTGCCACCTCCAATGGCCCCACGGCCAATGATGAATCGACCACCTCAAGGATATCCTCCTGTTCCCATGAATCATCCACCCGGTTCTAGTCCAGCTATGGATCTTCCACCGGGTTCAAATCCAGCTATGAGTCATCGACCAGGTTCAAATCCACCTATGAGTCATCCACCAGGTTCAAATCCACCTATGAGTCGTCCACCGGGTTCAAATCCACCTATGAGTCGTCCACCGGGTTCAAATCCACCTATGAGTCATCCACCGGGTTCAAATCCAGCTATGAGTCATCCATTGGGCTCAAATCCAGCTATGAGTCATGCACCGGGTTCAAATCCAGCTATGAGTTATCCACCGGGTTCAAGTAGTCCAGCTATGAATTTTTCAGGTGCTCCACCAAGGGCTATCAACTATTACAAAACCCTCATCCATCAACATGGTGGTGAGAGGCAGGAATCATTTGAACAACATGGAAGGCAGTTTGGAATGTACCATCAATCTGCTCCTCCCCAAACTAATGGTATTGATGCTATGAACGGTGCTTCTATGGTGAACAGAGATACGAAAACGAGGCCAACAAGACCATGTGCCTACTTCAACGGCCCGAGAGGGTGTCGCAACGGAGCTAATTGCACGTTTCTACATGAGTCATCTGCCACTTCAAGGCAGCAGGAGCAACAAAACGGCTCGAAAAGGATAAAGTTAGACAGCAGAATAACTGGTCGAAATTGAGCTGTGGGCTGCTATTCAAGTTTTTGACTGTTCTTTGGTTCAATATCTTTTCAAATGCATGGTTCAGTAAATATTGCAGACGCCAGCTCCCTGTCCTGTTGACTCCCTCCCAGTAGCCTGCCTTCTTCTTTTTATAGCCAAAAAAGATGTTCTGGAAGGGAAATACTTCCATCTTATATTGGAGCTCAGATTTTTACTGAACCATTATACACCGTTATTGAAGCACTTAAACCGTGGCTAGTTTGATGCTGCGGTAGTGGAGACTGTTCTGGTTTTAATTTGTGTGGAAATTGTTTTTTTACTAGACACAGTTTTAACTTATGTGAAAAATAGTTTCTTACGGGACAGTTTTAACTTATGTGAAAACTTAATTAGACAACAAAAGGACCAATAATGATAATTGCTTATTTCAATGAACCAATCACTTTATATTTTAGTTAGAAGTAGTTTAAATTACATTTGTTTTCTTTGAACTATGTTATTCTCCTGTGCATATTACTTCCCTTTGTTTTAATTTAGTCAGCATATTAGCTTTCATCGAAGTCAAACTTTATAAAGTTTGACCAAGTTTATAGAAAAAATATATGAGCAATTACAATAACAAATTTATATAATGTGAAAATATATTCAATGATGAATTTAATGGCATTGATTTGGTATTGTATGTGTTAATATTTTTTCTATATATTTTTGTCAAGGTACATAAATTTTGGTTTCAAACACAACTAATATTCGGACTGAAAAACCTGGAGTAAGTAGATATTTTGTGAAGTCAAACACATTGACCAACTTTATAAGAAATATATGACCTTTTTCAGTACCAAATTTGTATCATATACTAATATATCTTGTGACAAATCTAATGGTTTTGATTTGTAAAGGTTCATAGTTTTCTATATAAACTTGGTAATATGCACCATGTTTTGGCTCGAAGAAAGTAAATCATGTCTGGGTCTCGAAGAAATGTAATGCACGCCAATTTCAGAAATATGTACATCTAATAAGTCTTTTTAGATATTCCAACAAGGGACTACATACGAAGCAAAATGAGTGAATTTACCCTCTAAAATATGTCTATATATATTCGTATGTTTCAGTTCATTTGAAACCTCTAAAAAGACTTGTATATATAGAAACGGAAGGAGTAGATTTTTCTCTCCGTCTTGCATGGCTCACCCTCACCCGGACGAGAAACAAACACGTGCATTCTCCTCATGAGATGTCTACATGTTTTTCGTCATGTCTTCATCGCGGTTTAATTACTCTCGTACACATCGTATACGTAGCAAGTCATCGCGATGCATGGCTATTATGTGTGCATACAACTAGATCGATAGTCAATTCGGATTTCGGAAAGCGTACGTACCAGCGTATTTATTTACGTATACGTAGTGCATGCATGCACATGCACTTGAGCATGCTGGGCTGATGACTAGGTTAACCGTGTCTAGCTTAGCTAGCTACTGGTCACTATCTAATCTAGATCAGCCAATCAATATTGCGTGATTGCGTCCGTGCGTGTCGTGAGTGTTCCGGTAGTCTGTACCGGCTAACTGCTCCGGGTAGCGACGTACGCACGTTGTTGGCACGCACGCTGCCTGAGCGAGCGGCCGATCCATGCGCGATTTTGCGTGTCCATCGTACTCGTATCGTTCCGCCAGCTTCGCGCACAGCACGTACGGGACGAACGGCGACGTCGCTCTGCAGCATGCACGTCGTCGGTGCAGCGGACCAGGCACGTCGTGCGCGTCCAACCGAACCCGCACGGAAGCGTCTCGTGTCTAGCTTGGTCTCCGTCCACCGCAGCAGCCCCCACGTCTAGTCGCGTGAGCTAGGGCCGGTGATGAGCGCACGCATGTGATGTGCCCGAACCAGCCCAACCAAACTCCGAAGGGTTTTTTCCCTAAAAAAGAACGCCAGACAGGGATATTCGGCGGTTATTCTGCCGGTCGACTGGTTGATGAATGATGATGAACGCCGGTTGTCACTCTTGAGCGGCACAGCTCATCCTCCTTGAGAATCGGCGTAGAGAGTTACGTATCCTACCACGTAACTGTGGAGAGGTAGAGGCAACTCCTGTTCCGGTTGTTCTCAGTTCGGAGAGTTTTGGGTCGGGTCGAGGTAATCGAAAGGGCCACGACCCTTTATCGTGAGCAACATACGAGACCAAAAGCGGGAGCGAGGTTGCCTTGATAGCAGCGGGCACGTAATGTGCCAGCGCCACGAGGCAACGCCGCAAGCGCTATTTGGCCGTAGCGGCACACCCAAAGGACGTCCGTCGCGAGGCAACAATTATCCGAAGCACCACTTCCCATAGGTCGGGTACTAGCACGCAAGCACGTGCCGCGTTACCAGTGCACTTTTTTTTTTCTGGAAGTATGTGAAACGCGTACCATTGCTTTATAAGAGGGGGTATAATACAAAGCTTCCACCCAAGTGAGAAGCAAGAAGAAGAGGAAACGAAAGAAACGGAAGCAAAACAAGCAATACTGCTCACAAATAGCCACGAAAGCAAAACAAGCAAGCCTAGTTTTCTTTTTGAGAAAAGTATACTTTTCGTTCCTCAACTCTTCGCTGAGTTTAGTTTTCGTCCCTCAACTCTAAAACCGGACAGAGTGCACCCCAAATTCTCGAAACCGGTCATTTTTCGTCCCTGCGACTGAGTCAACCCGGTTTTGACCACGCGTGAACAATACATCTGATGAACAGTAAATTCGAAAAATAGCAAAACAATCAAAAAATCTGAAATTTTATGACATCGAAGATACTCAGGTACGCCACGTGCTTGCAATTTTTTTGTCATGTTTGGAAGTTCGAGGAGCTCGCAGCAAAAAAAGCAAAAGTAAATATACTCTGAAGTGAACAGTAAATTCAAAAAAAATTAGAAAACAAGTCAAAAAAATTTGATTTTTTTTGGCATCGAAGATGCTCGGGTGGGCAAGGTGCATGCAAATTTTCGTGGTAAAATAAGATCCGAGGGTTTAAAAACCACCCGAAGCAGCACGCGCACGTACGCTATTTTGTTTTTATTGGCACGACCTTCTCGGATGTCATTTGACCACGAAAATATGTACGCACCTTGCACACCCGAGCATCTTTGATACCAAAAATATTCAGAATTTTTTGTTTTTTTCTGCTATTTTTGAATTTACAGAGTAGATTTACTTTTGTTTTTTTGCTGTGAGCTCCTCAAACTTCCAAACATGATGAAAATTTGCTCGCACGTGGCGCACCTGAGTATCTTCGATGTTATAAAATTTCAGATTTTTTTGAATTTTTTGCTATTTATTTCAAACTTACTGTTCATCTGATGTACTGTTCACACGTGGTCAAAACCGGGCTGACTCAGTCGCAGGGAAGAAAAATGACCGGTTTCGAAAGTTCGGGGTGCACTCTTTTCGGTTTTAGAGTTGGGGGACGAAAACTAAACTCAGCGAAGAGTTGAGGGATGAAAATTATACTTTTCTCTTTTTTATGCGAGGAAACTTCTGATCTATTCATCTTTAATTATAGCAGTACAACGAACACCAGAAATAACAAAAATTACATTCAGATCCGTAGACCACCTAGCGACAATTACAAACACCGAAGCGAGCCGAAGGCGCGCCACCGTCATTGCCCTTCCCTCGCCGGAGCCGGGCAAAACCTGTTGTAGTTGACAGTCGGGAGTCGTCGTGCTAAGAGCATCTCCAGCCGTTCGGCCCCCCAGGGCGCCGAAAAACTGCGGCCTGGGGGCGAGCCGGCGCTAGTTCAGCCCCTAGGGTCGGCCTAGCTCCCAGTCACGCCCCCAGCCGCCGACCCCAGGCACGGCAAATTCAAACGTAGTGTTCCGCGCCCAAAATAAATGCCACAATCTGGCGATCAAGCGGCCAGTAGATCGACGGCCGGATGGAAAGTTCGGCGTACAAAAAGTAGAAAAGGGAGTAAGCGTGCATCAGGCGTCGAGGTCGGCCTCCGGCGTCGGCGGAGTCGGCGTGCGCGGGCTTGACGGGGCCTCTGTGCTTGGCGGCATGGCTTCTTTGCTGCGGGCAGTCTCGGCGGCATCAGCGGTCGGGCTTGGCGGCGGCGGCGGCGTGCGCGGCGTGGGTGTCGTGGGCGTAGGCGTCGTCGTTGAGGGAAGCTGGTTCAGAATGAGGCCACGCTCCGCCATGTATCACGCCTTGACCGCCTCGTCGGTGCTCTGGAGCATGTCCGCCCCGCCCAGCAGGAAAGCCAGGTCAGTGTTCCTCTTCTTCGCAGCGACATTGGTATGGAGTAGGTCGAGCTTGACGGCGCTAGTAGACATCAACGCTGACCACTGCGCCTCGGTCTTCTCTTCACGAAGGACGGCCCAGACTTGTGCGTCGGCGAGGCAGTGCTAGATGGACTCCTGCACACGAGCTGTGGCCGCGTCGGCGTGTTTCCCCTTCTTGGCACCTTTGTTGCCGTCCGGCGCCCATCTGACGCACCCGGAGTCGGCGCGTCAGGCTTGTAGGTCTCCTTGGCCTTCACAAGATTGCGCCGGACTTCCGCTCACTTGTCGCACTTGTCAATGCGCTTGTAGACGTGGAGGTACTTGAACTCGGCGTCGTTGTTGCCCTGCCTATACATGCCGAACATACGCAGCAACTGTGCGGGGATGAACAAATAGTTGGCGGGTGCACGACGAAAAGAGGCGGGAGACCGGCGTGGCATACCTGATCCTCAATGCTGGCGCCGCTCTCCGGGCGACCAGCGACCTCCTCGACGACCCCATGCCATTTGTTGCACGCCCCTGGATACGCCCCCAATGGTTCGCCATCGCCTTCGACCCGCGCTGCTTGCAGACGCCTTTAAAGTAGGGGTCGACGAGCTTGCGCTCGTCGAACTCGGCCTTGATGCGCGCCCAGTACGTCTCGATGCTCTGGTCCACGCCGGTGGTCGGGTCGAGGCAGACGACTTTCCATGCTTCGGCGAGGCATTCCTCCTCTTTGGACGCCCACTTGACGCGCGGCTCTGGCCTAGCCGCCGCCTTCTTCTTC